GAAAAACGTGCTATAACGTGACTTCCTTTTTTTCAGACAGTTTATCAGTAATCTCTCTTGTGGGGCTACATGAAGAGATTTCCCAGCATTTTTTGAACACTGCCCAGTTCCAAATGTGATTATTTATTTACAATTCAATAATAAGAAATTATTAGAAGAACTGTTGTGCGTCTCCTAATAAAACACAAAAGGTGTTTGACTGAAGCAGCACTGCACAGACCGTTCTGTGTGTGACATTAAAGTACCGCGAGAGCGATTAGACAGCATTTTTACAATGTTTGTTTTGATGTCAAATAAGTCTTGCTGTTTTGCTATTTTGTTAAAGCAGTGTTGCTGTTGTAAAGTTGTACAGCTACAGTTGGGTTTTAAAGCAGGGTTGATTTTTTTGATTTTCTTCCTTATCACTCTGTATTTACAGGATTTCACTGTCCACTCTGTTCAAATGTGGATGAATGGCTACACATAGATGTGTCCAGAGCTGTGTGAGAACTACCATCCTGCTTTTGTGAGGGTGTAGGGGTGTTAATTTTTTCCCCCATAGGTTTTTAACATTCTAAAAGCTCTTTATTCCAAAGATACTACAAGCTAGTCAGTGTATTCAGCAGGTGTAATGTATTCTAAGTTGCTTCAGAAGTATTGCAAGTATTACATACAACAATAAAACAGTGCATTGACCTAAAAAAGGAAATTTACTTTTGGTACTTAAGTACTTTTAAAAGCAAGTACTTCTGTACTTTTACTTAAGTAAAAATCTGTCTTTACAACTTTTACTTGTAATGGAGTAATGTTTGACCAGCAGTATCTGTACTTTCACTCAAGTAATGGATTTGAGTACTTTGTCCGCCTCTGCTGTTGAGCAGCTCAAACTCGAAGCCAGCGTGGAGAGAATCAAAGTAAGTCTCAACACTCAGAAATAAGTGCTATTTCATTCAATACACATGATGTTAGACTCCTGCACGACTCCATTTCAAGACAAAGTTCAGTTTAGTTCATTAACGGCAATCTACAGACATGAGACAGATAATGACAGGCTATTAAACACACATTATCACTACACTGCTGCTCTTAATGGTGTTTGTGTGTCTAGTATTAATGGATTGTTGTTAGAAAGTTTTTCATAAACGTTCAAAACGAGCAGAAATGTGATAATTTCATAGAATATAGTCACGCTGTTCACAAATATCCTAAAATGTGATATACAGCTAAGCAGCTGGATATGAATGAGCAATCATCAGCATTATGGTTTCTTTCATTTAAATGATTATTATCAGTCTGATGTTGGAGTCAGATAATGCTACAGCTTATTGTTTCCAATTGAAATAGTACTGTTTTACGTCATTATTATTAAAAACAGACATTAAATCATATATGCTCCGTGAAATCAGGCATCAAATTTTTGTAATGTATAGTAAAAATTTAAAAGGGGAAAAAAAATTATATATCAATCTAATGCAAAGATGATTATGGGCATCGATATATATTTTACATCCCTAAAACTAATAATAATTGTAAAAAACTAATACAACAATTGAAATGTCTGGATCTGTAAAAACATAAACGTTATATAGAGAGGTCACGATGATGCCAGTTAACAGCCTGGTTTATTTTTTCACATTTTGTGCAATAGAGGAAACATTTAATATGACAAGCAGTCAGATTTAGAAATAACTGACTTCTCTGAGTTTCAACGGGTTTATCATGCGCAAAAAATGATTCGGTTTTGATTCTGACTCATATCTGATGAAGTTTGCATCATTGAGTCCTCTTTATTTCTGTGCAGTTGCTTTGAAACAATCTTTATTGTATAAAGCGCTAGAAACAACGGTGGCTTGACCAGATCACGAGCAGCATGCAGAAAAAGCAAATGCGGATAATAAAATGCAAGTAACCTGCAGATTTAGGTTAGTGAAATAAATAGGCTTGTCGACCTTTAAAAGGAGGAGAAAACACTTCCTATATCTTTAGTTTTTGATGTCAACGGTCATTTTTTCAAAATTGAGATGTATACATTATCTGAAAGCTGAATAAATAAGCTTTCCATTGATGTATGGTTTGTTAGGATAGAACAATATTTGGCTGAGATGCAACTATTTGAAAATCTGGAATCTGAGGGTGCAAAAAAATCTAAATATTGAGAAAATCATCTTTAAAGTTGTCCAAATGAAGTTCTTAGCAATGCATATTACTAATCAAACATTAAGTTTTGATATATTTACAGTAGGACATTTACTAAATATCTTCATGGAACATGATCTTTACTTAATATCC